CCCTACAATGATCAAGATAGCCTTATCCAAATAGAGTGTAAGAATAATGTAGTCAACAAATGTCACTGCTTCCCCCTGACCCCAAAGAGATAGTAAAATGGATCCAAACTTTACTTTGTCTGCTCTGGCTAAGACAAATATGAAACTCAAACATAGAAAAATAATCACAGTTTCCTATTTGGTAAAGAATTGCCCACATAGGAGATTCTTGACCTACTAAAGATAGAACTTCAATATGATCCAGCAACTCCACTCCTAGGTATTTACCCAAAGGACACAGAAACATTAATTCAAAAGGGCACCTGCACCCCTATGTTTATAGTGGCACTATTTACAATAGCTAAGCTATGGAAACAACCTAAATGCCCAAAAATAGATGACTGGATCAAGAAGATGTAGTATATATACACCATGGAATATTACTCAGCATTCCTAAAAGATAAACACTTGCAATTTGCAGCAACATGGATGGCGCTGGAAGGGATCATGCTCAGCGAAATAAGCCAGAAAGAAAAAGAAAAATACCAGATGGTCTCACTCATAGCAGGAATTTAGAAAACCTAAATAAGGGACCAGGAAAAAGACTAATTGCAATAAAGTAAAAATCAAAATCAACAAGCAACTATAGACCAGAGACACACTACAGCGGGGGGCGGGGGGAGAAGAGGGATTAGGGTCAGAAAAAGGGGGTGGGAATTGTATGGGGAATATAACCAAAATGAAAATGCATACATTATGCAAAAATGAAAAATGATGTAAGAATTATACAAAATAAAATAATTCATAAAAAATTGCCCATATATAAGCACACAACTCTTCAATTAAGGAAATTTTACATCAAATATAATATGTGCCAATATATCAATTTTTTGTAATATGCGTGTAGAGGCAGGAAGGGACAGAGCTGGTTCTCTATGATCCGAGCAGACAGGTGAAGGAGTCCTGGAACCCTCAGTGGCTTTTGCAGATTTTTAATGGGAATTACTGGGTACACGGCAGGCAGGGCAGGGGTCCTGGGGGCCGGGAGGCTGGCAGGCCTCCCAGCCCCCAGAGAATCTTCACTCTCTCTGGGCTCTCCGGCATTCTCTCCTGGCCTCGCTCTTTCGCTATGCTGCTCTTCTCACTCTGCTGTTCCACTCTCTTTCTGGTATTCTTGTGTCCCCATGATGCCACCCTTATAAGCCCAGTCTCTCAGTCTTACACATGCCCACACCCTACTCCAGGTCCCCGCCATCAGGCATGCATTCAGGACCGCAGATCCATCATCAATCCTAATGGCGGGAGGGCAGAAAAGCCTGATACTTTACCTTACCCTACCATGGACAAAGCAAACTGAAGCCAATTTGCTCATGATGTTACAGAGACTTTGAATCACAGTGAAGCATATTACAGTGATAGGAAAGTATAATGCCTGTGCTTCACTGAAAAACCAAAACCATTTTTAAATATCTGTAGAATAAAGGGGTAAAGTTAATGCTCAGATTAATAATTAAAACAAAGAGCTCCACTGCACAGCCAGAAAGGGGGCCTCTCTCACACCCATCATGCACATTCATGGGGAACACTGATGCTATACCATACATAGATGACCTATTTCTGAGTTCGGATTCAAATTAGCAGAGCAGCACCCACGACACAAACTACTGAGTCAACATAGGGGCAGGAATGACCACTGAGCAGGTTTTCTGATCCAGCAGACCGGGTAAAGGAGGAGTCAGAGTCCTCAGAGCCCTCAATGGCTTTTTGCAGGCTTTTATTGGGGTTTACCAGGTACACAGCAGGCAGGGGTACTGGGGGGCCGGGAGGCTGGCAGGCCTCCCAGCCCCCAGCAAGTCTTCATTCTATCTGGGCTCTCCGGCCTTCTCTGCTTCTGCTACTTCTTTCTCAGCTTCTCTTTCGGCTTCTGTTCATTCTTGGCTTCTACTGGCGTCCCCGTGACACCGCCCTTAAAAGCCCAGTCTTAGCCCAGGTGGATCTCATCTACCTATGCCCACACCCTACTCCAGATGCCCGCCATCAGGCATGCATTCAGGACCGCAAGGATCCATCATCTATCCTGATGGCGGGAGGGCAGAAAAGCCTGACATTTTTTCTTTACCCTACAGTCAACCATTCACAAGAGTTTATTTTGAATAAATGAACAATAGTAAGAGACTCTGTTAAGAGTTTGATATTGAGACACAAAAAAATAGGTCCAATTTAATGATTCAGGCTCTTAAAAACATAATGATGTTCTGATACTTAAAAAGAATGTAGTAGATCCCTAACCTAGCACAAAATAATTACAGATCAATGCGAAATAGTAATAGAAAAAAATCATTGTAGGATTGAAGCAAGGTAATCAATTTCCAAAGTTGCAGTGACTTTCCACCATCACTATAACAATTATTGTATAAAGCAATAATATAGAAAAATTCAGCAAGGAACCACTGCCATATAAGCTGTCTTAACAATGCCGAAAATAATAATAATATATTAAAATAATAAATACATTGACAAAAATGAAGCCACAAATCAGTTTAAATGACAAATCTAGGGACTGATTCATGATGCCCTGGCAGTGAAAACAAACATGGCCAAGAGCCAGCGATTCACAGCATAGCATTTGAGAACGGGGCACACATATACTGCTGTTTTATTAGAAGTCTTCAAACTTTTCACATGGAGATATCATTACATGGTTTGAAACATTAAACACAAGTCAGACAGAAAAAAAGGGGAAACAGGTGATGACTCAAACTAAAGAACACACAGAGTGCTGAAATTACCTACACTCTAAACACTGGTGGGGCTCCTGGAGAGTGCTGTGGGGAGAGGAAGAAAAAGGGAGGGTGGAGCAGCAAAACTACTAGGAAATGGTGTTGACCTATACTAAGAAACACCAATCTACTACTGGGGAAATATACTCAACAAAATGCCAAAGACAGGAAGACTTAGCTCAATACCATAAACCTAGCAAAACATTATCAATTTCAAAAAGTGACAAAATCAATTTCAAAAAGTAACAATGAGGGCCTCCCCGGTGGCGCAGCGGTTGAGCGCTGGGTTGTGAAGCTGCCCGAAGCCTCTGTGGCGCCTATTCCATCCCCGGCTGCTCCCCGGCCACCGGAGGAGGGTCCCGCATGGCGCACAGACCTCCCCAGCCGCCCGCTGCTCCCCTCAGCAGTGTACTTCGGTCCTTCTGCCTGCTCTGCTCCCCATTCTGGCTCTGGTGAATTCTCTCACCCTCTCGCGCTTCTGACTGTACCCAGTGCTTGTATAAACAAATAAATCTTTAAAAAAAAATAAATTAAAAAAAGTGACAATGAAAATGAATAACAAGCAAGGATCCACCTGGTGTAGTGTTCAGGGAAGATTTTTTTTAAAGATTTATTTATTTATTTACTTACTTACTTACTTACTTATATACAAGCACTGGGTACAGTCAGAAGTGCGGGAGGGTGAGAGAATTCACCAGAGTCAGAGCAGGGAGCAGAGCAGGCAGAAGTGTTAGGGGGAAAAAGATGTCCTAAAGCTAATTCCATACAGGCTTTGTGGACTCCACCCCCACCCCAGGACAAAACCAAAGACACTGGGAACTCCAAACCCCATCACCACCAAAGGGAAGGTGGCTGGGACCTGAGGGTGGAGTTAAGCAGCCAGGTTGGTATAAAGCCAGACATGTGGGCTTTGGAGGGGGGGTTCCCCCATTTTGACTCTCCACCAGCTCGCAGCATCCCGCCAGCACGGAGATTACCTTTGGGTTTCCAGGTCGGCGGATCGGGTAGGACGCATTAAAGACTTTATTTCCCTATTTTCTCCCTGAGTTGTACATTTTCCTTATTTCCTTTTCCCTTGTAAATAAACCTTTTATTAACCTTTTGTGTGTCCCTTTTAAGCGTGCGGGTGAGGACCCACAGCCAAGCAACCCGTTCAATATCGGGGCTGCCCTATAACAGAAGGACCGAAGTACACTGCTGAGGGGAGCAGCGAGCAGCGCGCGGCAGGAGAGGCCTGCGCGCCATGTGGGACCCTCCTCCGGTGGCCAGGGAGCAGCCGGGGATCGAACCGGCGCTGCAGAGGCTGCGGGCAGCTTCGCAACCCAGCGCTCAACCGCTGTGCCACGGGGGAGGCCCCCTGTTCAGGGAAGATTTTTCCTCAATATTTTACTGTAAAATATTCAGCATCAAAATGGAAACAGTTCTCCTTACTATAATAACACTGTTTAGTTAAAATGAGTTACATGTTTGCAAGGTAAGTTATCAGGCTTTACTGCCCTCCCGCATTAGGATTAATGATGGATCCCTGCGGTCCTGAATACATGCCTGATGGCAGGCACCTGGAGTGGGGTGTGAGCATACGCAGATGGGTACACCTGGGCTGAGACTGGGCTTTTAAAGGTGGCGTCATGGGAATGGAACCAGTGAGAGAAAGAGCAGGAGAGAGAACGAGACCACGAGAGAACACCGGAGCACCCAGGAAGAGTGAAGATTTGCCGGGGGCTTGGAGGCCTGTCAGCCTCCCAGCCACCCCCCCCCCCCAGCACCCCTGCCTGCCATGTACCTGGTAAACGTGAAACAAAAGCCGGAAAAAGCCACCAAGAGCTCCAGGACTCTCCTTTACCCATCTGCATAGGTTCGTAGAGAACCTGTTCTATGCCTTCCTGCTACAATGTTTAAAAAAATCTGAAAAATAAATGTAAAAATATGAGCCCAATTTTAAAAAATCTTAATACAATTTGTTTTTTTAATTAAATGTGTGAAATCTGGGGGGAAAAATAAAATATTCAGCATCAGAAAATGAAAATAAATGTATAGTGGACACCTTTATAAACCACCTACATTCTACAATTAACATTTTACTGTATTTTATCACAATTGAGCCCATAAATTATTTGTGAAAATAATCTCAAACTCAAAAA